CCTTATGGCTTCATATGGAAAAAAGGTTCCTCTACCTTATTGGAATAAGGAAAAAAACTGTCCTGGGAAGAGGATATAATATTTTCTTTCCCTTTCATCCATTGTTTAGGTGGGATCTGAGAATCAATCCATAGGATATGCAAGAAAGAACTGATGAAAATATAACCAAAGACCCCTCTACCTGTTGAAACACTAATGCTATATTGCATAGGTTTAAATAGGCCAAGAGAGCACCAGTCTTTCTGCCAAAGGGAATAGGGCTCGGGGTACTTGGTGATTCAAATTCTGTACCAATATGGTGTGAAGATTTACAAGACCTAAGAATTTCAAAGGACGTAATCCTAATTTATCCAATCCAACAAGTTTTTGTTAAGCACATGTTCTATATGGAATTCACTTTACTAGGTTTTCTCAGTATAAAGAGAGAAAGAAAACAAGCCCTCCCCTCAAGGAACTTACATTCTACTGGAAAGATAGAACATTTGAACAGATAAATACATATGTGGTGACTTGAGAAGTAGGGAAAGAGCAATAATAACCAAGGGGATCAGGAAAAGCCTCTTATAAGGCATGGTGCATGAGCTAAATTTTGAAGGAAGCTGGGGCTTCTAAGAGATGAAAGTGAGGCAAGAGAACATTCCAGGCATCGAGTATCACCTGTGTAAGCCCAGAGGCAGGAAATGGAGGGACAGTTTCAGAGCAGAATAAGTAGGGAGCTGGACTAGAAAGGAGACAGTGTAGAAGTTAATAATATTTGATAAGCCAAGAGCCAGTTTGGGAAGGAATTTGTAGGCTGTATAGTCTGTTCCCCACACCATATAGGATTCCTTCCTACAATATCTTGATATTTAACCTTTCCAACAGGGAAGTCATCATGTAATAAGGCAGCCCATTCCATTATTGGGCAGATCTGATGGTCAATTGTTCATTAGATTTGAACCAAAATGTTCCTCTGTATGATTTTATCAGTTGACCCTAGTTTTAACATCCTTCACACCTTTGCTTATGCCATACTTCATACCTAGAATGCCCTTCCCTGTCCTTTTTACCTAAGCAAATTTTACTTATCTTTCAAAGGTCTAGAATTATTTACTTTTACACTTTGGGGATGTTTAACCTGAAGAAAAGACAACTGAGGACATGATAGCTGTCTATAGACAGGGCAGTTATGAGGAAACAAGATAAAGTCAGTCAGTTAACAAGCATTTATTAAGCACTTATTCTGTGAGTCATTGGACTAAGACATAGCTAGGGCTACAAAGAAAGGCAAAGAATGCTCTCTGCCCTCAAGGAGCTTATCATCTAATGGAGATGATAGCGTGTAAATAACTAGGTATATATAAGATATAAATGGGATAGATGGAAAGTAATCTAAAATGGGAAGGCATTAGCAGCCAGAACAACCATAAAAAGTCTTCTCCAGCAGATGAGATATGTATTGAGTCTTGAAGGAAGCCAAGGAGACCAAAAGGCAAAGATGAGGAGCAGAGCATTCTAAGCATGAGAGATAGCCCGGGCAAAGGCACTGCCACAAAAGTAGGAGACGAAGGGACATGTTCAGTGTACTGCAAGTGGTCTCATAGCTGAATCATGGAAGAGAGTAAAGTGGAAGAAAGACTAGAGAGGAAGGAATGGCCCAGGTTAAAAAGAGGTTTAAATTCTAAACGAAGGATTTTATATTTGATCTTAGAAGTAATAGGGAGACAGTGGAGCTCACTGAACAGGAGGTTGATTATAGTTATATATATATGGTTAGGACTGCTCTAGAAAAATCACCTTGGCAGCTAAGTGGAAGATGAATTAGAGTAAGGAGAGACTTGAGGCATGGAAGTTGATTGAAAGGCTATTTCAAATGGTAGAAATGGCACTTGAACCCAGGTTGTCCTGACTCTGAGTTCAATTCTCTCTCTGCTGTATCAAAACTACCTCTCACCTTTGAAATTATATATTTTAATTTTTTAATTGCCCATATTCTTTAAAATATCATTTCACTGAAAGTAAGCATTACTAGAAGGGCAGATTTACTTCTGATTTGTAAGTGACAGTCTTTTTTTAAACTCTCATACGATCATACAAACATTGTTAATTCAGGAAGAGCCAGGAAGAAAGTGATCATAGACATACTCCTCTTCTCTGATACACCAGATGAAAAAGACAAATCCTAGAAAAAGAAACTGGAACTTCTAGGACATCAACAGAAAAATCCATTCCTTAGAAGACCTTACTTAAGAACACCAAAGTTGGCAGAGCCAAGATGGCAAAGTACAGGCAGCAGTCTAGCTGAAATTTCCCAACATTACCCTCCAAACAACTTTAAAATAACTCCTTAAATCAAATTTTGGAGTGGCAAAGCCAACAGAAGATCAGAGTGAGACATTTTTCCAGCCTAACACAACTTGGGAAGTCAGCAGAAGAGGTTTGTGACACCAGGGTGAGAGCTGGTCCAGAATATGGCAGGAGCATCAATTGTGGGCCCCGGAGGGGGGCAACAGGAGCAGCAGTTTTGGGAACTCTCAGCCCAGAAATGACAAAGGAATCAGACAACTGATCAGAAAGAGATTACAGGGGACTCTTTGCTGGCACTGGATGCAGCTGGTGCTGATTGGCAACTCTATTGCCCATAAGCAGTTCTGGGTCACGGTTCCAGTGTGGAAAGGAGTGCTTGTGATTGATCACAAGGCTCTGGTCACAGTTCTAAGGCACAGGGAGCACTAGCTCTTGTGACTGCAGGAGAGTCAGAGACATAGTCACAGTTCCGGGCATAGAGGAGTAGCTTCAGAGGAGCTGGGGTGAATACCAGAGCACAGACCAGGAGAGCAGTGACCATATTTCTCCATGAATCACATCATCTTGGAAGCACCAAAAACTTAGACACACACACACACACACACACACACACACACATACACACACCAAACTAGCTCTGAAAATAGCCTGATGCTTAGGACAGTGCCTGCCCACCCACAGGTGAGCAGAGCCCAACTTTAATATAAAGTTAACTTTATCTTAACTTTAAGTATAACTTTAACATAACGTTCACTGTCAAGAAAATGAACAAACAACAAAAAAAGAACTTGACAGGGAAGACCTAGACATAAACTCAGAAGAAAATAACAATGTGAAAACAGCTACAAACAAAGCCTTAAAGAAAAATGCTGATTGGACCGAAGCCCAATAAGAATTCCTGGAAGAGTTTTTAAAAAAGAGAGAGATAAGAGTAATAGAAGAAAAAATGGGAAAAGAAATGAGAGTGATGCAAGAAAATTATGAAAAGAGAATTGACAGCTTGGTAAAAGAGGCACAAAAATAGTGAAGAAAATAACACCTTAAAAACATAATTAGCCTAGTGATAAAGAGACATAAAAATTCACTGAAGAAAAGAAATCCTTAAAAAGCAGAATAGGCTAAATGGAAAAGGAGATACAAAAATTCACTGAAGAAAAGAACTCTTTAAAAAGCAGAGGATGGGCAGAGCCAAGATGGCAGAATAAAGATAGGAACTCATCTGAGCTCTCCCTTAAACCCCTCCAACTATCTTTAAAAATGGCTCTAAACAAATTCTAGAATAGCAGAACCCACAAAAAGACAGGATGAAACAAATTTCCAGCTCAAGACGACTTGGAAGGTCATCAGGAAAGGGCTTTTGTACCAGGGTGAGAGAGGAGCACCTGGCCCCAGAAAACCTGGAGCAGGCCTTGGAGCAATTGAATTACTGGCATCAGTGGTGGTTTCCAGACCTCTCAGCCCACAGACACCAAACACAACTTGGAAGGTCAACAGGAAAGATCTACCACACTTGGATGAGAGTGGAACACAGTCCAGTGCAGGTCGTGCCAGCACAGCCGTAATCATAGCAAACCAGGAGCAGGCTTTGGTAGTGACTGAATCAGCAGCAGCAGCAGCAGCAGCAACGGCTGCTACCAGAGCTCTGAGCCCACGGACGGTAAGGGGGCAAAACAACTGGTTAGAAGGGGATTACAGGAATCTCTTTGCTAGCACTGAGGCAGGACTCTGCTTCTTTGCCCATACTCATATCCAGGTCACAGTCCTGGGTGGCAGTCCCGAGATGAGGAGGAGCACTACCGTAGCAGAGCTTGCAGCAGCAGTGAAAGGGGAACTCTTCTCACAGTTCCAGGGCACAAAAGAGTGTTTGTGGTCACTCACAGACCAGAGCACAGGCCAGGAGAGTAGTAAACACCTGTCCTTAGATCATACCACCTTGGAAGGACTGAAGACTTACAGGCGCTTAGAAGGATCTCTGAAAACAGCTTCACAAAACCCCTGAAGCTTGAGACAGTTTGCCGTCTACCCTGGAAGCAGAGCCCTATTTTGACAAAAAGTTAAAAGTCAAGCAATAGGCTGGAAAAATGAGTAAACAACAGAAAAAACTCTGACCATAGAAAGTTATTATGGTGATGAGGAAGATCAAAACACACACTCAGAAGAAGACAAAAAAGGCAAAGCTCCTACATCCAAAGCCTCCAAGAAAAATATGAATTGGTCTCAGGCCATGGAAGAGCTCAAAAAGGATTTTTGAACATCAGATAAGAGAGGCAGAGGAAAAATTGGGAAGAGAAATGAGAGTGTTACAATAAACTCATGAAAAACAAGTCAATATCTTGGTAAAGGAAACACACAAAAAAAAAAAACTGAAGAAAATAACACACCTTAAAAAACAGACTGGGCCAATGGTAAAAAGAGGTCCAAAAAGCAATGAGGAAAAGAATGCATTAAAAAGCAGAATTGACCAAATGGGAAAGGAAGTCCAAAAGCTCACTGCAGAAAATAATTCCAGGGGCAGCTAGGTGGCGCAATGGATAGAGCACTGACCCTGAAGTCAGGATGACCTGAGTTCAAATGTGGCCTCAGACCAAACACTTG